TATCCACGTCAGCAATAAAAGCCCGAAATTGGGCCCGGAGGATGAAATTGCAAACATTAATGAAAGTGGTGTATATTTTTGCCAAGTTTAAAAGTGGTACATATAATTGCATATTTCGAAAAGGTCATAGTTTTATTAGCAATTAGGCCTTTTATTAATATAAATAAATTTTAATATTTATAGCAATATTAAAAGGATAGCAAAAAATGAATCCCTAGCCCACCTTAGCTTTGTTTTTGTTTATGCGTTTTATTGAAAAATTAACATAAAAAAAAAAAAAAAGATTCATACTCCATAGATGTTATTAGTGATATATTGGTAGCATTGGCCTTGGCTATGAGAACGGTCATCTCTTAGAAGGCAAGCTATTGACTGTATTTACCTCATCGTATTAATGCACGACTGGTCTAACGAACAACGACAAATGAGGGAAGGTGTATGAACGGGAGCACGAGAAAGACGAAGAAGCTATGGACAAGGAGACTAAGTTAATCAATATTAATCACAATAGAATTGTTGTAACTTAATGACATGCAAATTTCTTTTACAATCAACAATAATGACTCCTCCAAATCGTGCGAATGGATGATATCGAAAATGTCGATTTCGACCGAACATTTTAAGGACATGGAAATTTAGATTGTGGTTCCATATTTGGGCTTGAGCATCTAATAGATCTTGAGTTGAGTTTATTCCTTTAGGCAATGTCATATTTTGGTTTGTAGTGTACTTTGTGTCTGTGTTTTATGTGATATGCACTTGTTATTGTTTACTATTTATATATAGGGAGGGATATTCTCTAAAATGACATTATATATTTCTATGATTGTATACAGTTATAACTAGAACCCGATGAGCACCTGGGTTCAAAGCCATTTGAGAAAATTTTTATATAAATCATAATCGACAAAGCTAAATGGAAGAGAAGAAACAGAAACAAATTTGACTAGATGACGTCTATAATTTGAATCAAAATAATGAAATAAAGAAGAACTTGTATCCACAGTTCCACGGCTCCAAACCATCGGAATAATATAATATTGATCAACGTGCCCATCGATCAATGGTCCCAAAGCCATCGGGCCAACCCAAGCCGATGGCCATGTCTAATCAGAATGATTTGTAGATTGGGTTATTCACAGTAAAGCTGTTGTAACTCAGTAATATGCAACCAGCATAACTTTCAATACCAACCAAAACAAAACTAAACAAAACAACCCAAAGAGGCTTGAGCAGACAATCAACAATCATGACTTCTCTAAATCACTTACTCATGTAGCCCTTTTATTTTGAAGTAGCAAAACTTAATATAGATAGTTCATGGATAGACTTGGATAACAGACCTCAATCCTAGCACACACGCAATCTCGTAGCTCGTGAAGCCAGCCTCACAAAAAAGCTTCGCCCATTCTTTCTCGGTTCTCTCTTTCCCCCGGTCATAACCATCATCTCGATGTCCCAAAAGAGTTGATTCTCCATTGCCAGTGACTTATTCTGTTTCTCGTTCTCTACCTCGTCATCCACAACTATGTCGATTACAATCACTTTTCCTCCTTCGTCTCTACTCGGGATAGCTTCCTTGCATGTCTTCAGTATTTTCACACAATCCTCATCCGACCAGTCGTGCATTATCCACTGCGCTCATCATTTAATCCACACATCAAAGAACATTGGAAATGTACATAAATAAATAATAATTAAAAAAAATGCTCTGTTTCAAAAAAGGGCGCACTTTTTTCTTTATTTTTATTTTTATTTTTATTTTATTTTGAAAACAAAAAAAAAGGGCACATTAACATTAGTGAAAATTGCAGTTTTAGTCATTTATCTTATCAGTCATAACTTTTTGGTCCCCTTCAAATTGTTGTTTTGAATTCCATCCTCTATGTTTACAATAAGGTTACAAAACATCCCTCCAATTTGCAAAAAATGTTACAATTTTGTCCCTTATGTATGTATGATCGAGACCTTTTTGTAACCTTTTTGCAAACATAAGCGACGAAAATCAGAACAACAATTCGAAGGAGAGGAAAAAGGTAGGGTAATGAAACATAGAGGACTAAAATTGCAATTTTCTCTTAACAATATTACCTTCATGAAAACTGCATCGGCACGCGGAATAGACTCGAACATATCTCCCCCGACAAATCTCAAATTCTGACTCCCTTCCAACCCTTCAACCACGTGCGGGAGGTCGAGCACGCTACACTCCAACTCAGGAAAAGCATCGACAAAAGCCTTGGCCATAGTCCCGGTGCCACCAGCCACATCAACCATCGACCTCAGCCCTTGAAAAATGTGCCCGCAATCCCTAACAATCACGCAGGCTGCCAGCCTGGCGTCGCTCGCCATGCGCTCGTTAATAAGCTGATTTAGCTCCGTGTCCCGTGCAGCGAGCACCCAAAATGTGGCCCCGTGGCCATCATGAATGGTGTGGGTTCATCGTTAGCGAACCAATGACTCAAATAATGCCACAGTTTGGTCAAGGCACGGTGGAGCGGATAACGAACCCAAGGGATCATGGTTTGGGACTCGTCTCGCAATAGAAGAAGGGAAGCCGGGGTCAGCAAGTATCCATCCGAGTCGTTTGACTTATCGATTATTTTGACTTTGGTCAACAGCTTGGAGTTGACGAGCACGCGCACGAGGCGTGATTGGTCTGCCGTGCGAATGGATGGCATCGAAAATGCCGAGTTTGACCGAGGATTTTAAGGACATGGAATTAACGAAGCTTAGAGTGTGACTCCAGATTTGGGCTTGAGCATCCAATAGCTCTTTAGTTGAGTTTATTCCATTAGGCAATGCCATATTTTGGTTTGTGATGTGTGTGTGTGTGTGTTTTTTGTGATATTAAGTTATTCTTGTTTGCTACTTATAGAGGGGGCCTAAGCAGTTATGTGATAAGTAAGTTGGAAGGGATTATGCCTGTTATATTTTGGTTAAAAATAAAAGTGAGATGAATTACATGCAAATGTGTTAGGTGAAATTTATACGTTACATCCATGAGTGTAAATTGATGAGTTACACAATGCATGAATGTAAGATAGGTTTCATCTATTTGCATGTAATAATAAGATCATGTTTCACAAAGTTGAAACTTATTGATTTAATTAGTTTAGATTAATTGAATATAAGTTTCATGTTGAGTTTAATGGTTCTTTCTCCATTGTTATCTATTATTTCCAACAATTTTTGCAGCTCTTTCTTGAAATACATTAGAATAAATTAATAGTTATTCAACAAAAAGGGGAAAAAAATGAAGTCCTTCGTGAGAAAATATAATAGATGAACTAGATATTACATTTATTTCTACGTTATAGCATTATGAATTATTTTGTTTTTGAACATTAGGTGCTACCTCAATAGTCAATATAATATAGGTCCAGAAATTAAGTCAGGAGATGATGATAATGCTAGGTACATGCAAATTGAATTTTCAGATAATATCGACTTTGAATTTGCATGATCATAATTAGCAAGATTAAAGACCTTAACAAAATCTTTACTTTAATATCATAACCACACAATTAAAAATGAAAATAGCTTTTTTTTATGATAATTTTTTGTTTGACCAACAAGGCATGCATATAATGATGTCGTCTCAATTTATAATCTCTCTCAATTTATTTCAATTTTGATTTTACAACACTAGCATATGAGTCTAGACTAGAAAGATAATGATGCTAGTTAACAAGTTGAGATATTAAAAAGCTATGAACATTTGAGAACATGGACTTATTCTAGCCACATACATTAGAATAATTCACAATTTAGGAGTTGGAGTTGATTAAAACCAAATGGATTTTCCTCATACTCTTGTCCTAATAACTCTCTTATCTTCTTCACTCCTTTTACAAATGGGTTTAGTGCCTATTAACCGATTATTACTACATGAGTGAATTATATTCTTGCAACCGATTAAGGTCTAGAAGAGTGTTTACTATTAATGTGATTGAATATTTACCATATGTACGACAATATGTACAACAATCCCTTTGAGACATTTTATCGAACACCTCCAGAACATAGTTTTCCAAACAAATTACAAACCCTAATCAATTTCCAAATAACCCAACAATTTATCAAACAAACATAATCAAATAACCCATTATAAAAAACACTAATCTAATTCATAAATCTCAATTCAAAAACACTAATCCAATTCAAAACCCTGACACCGAAACACATTATCAATTTATTGAAAAAAAATCAATATTTAATTAAATAGAAGAAATGTACCTTATAGACGAGAAGCGGCAGTGGTGAAGGGCGGGGCTGGGAATTTTTTTTTTTTTTTTTTTTTGTTTTCTCTTGGGGTCTCTCTCTCTGTTGCTGCTGGTGTTTGGGTTATGTTCGAATGAGAAGAGGATTTTTTTTTTGTTATATTTATATGTAAAACAGATTCTTACAAAAAAAAAAATGGTAGAAGGACCCAGATTCGAGACACGAACCCGGGTGGGCGAGTCCATTATCTTTGGGCACACCTCCTTACCATTAGGCCGCTAGGCTATCGGGTTTATTTTAGCGCAAATTTTATTCTTATCCTTCAATATCAAAATTTTTTATAGTATATAGTATTTTTAATATATAGTATATACATATATATTTTTAATATAATATATAGTATATATTATATAGTATATATTATAATAGTATATATTATATAGTATATAGTTTATAATATAACATATAGTATATAGTTTATATGTTTACACTATAATTGACCGAGATTGTACTAATTTGACTTCAATTGCACTAATTCGAGTTCGATTACACTGTAATTGACCGAGATTGTATTAATTTGACTTCAATTGGACTAATTCGAGTTCGATTACACTATAATTGACCGAAATTGTACTAATATGACTTCAATTGGACTAATCCGGGTTCGATTACAAAATAATTGATGGAGATTGTACTAATTTGACTTCAATTGGTCTAATTCGAGTTCGATTACACTATGATTGACGGAGATTGTACTAATTTGACTTCAATTGAACTAATTCGAGTTCGACTACAATATAATTGGCGGAGATTGTACTAATTTGATTTCAATTGGACTAATTGGAGTTCGATTACAATATAATTGACCGATATTGTACTAATTTGACTTCAATTGGACTAATTTGAGTTCAATTACACTATAATCGATCGAGATTGTACTAATTTGACTTCAATTGGACTAATTCGAGTTTGATTACAATATAATTGACAGATATTGTACAAATTTGACTTCGATTGGACTAATTCGAGTTCGATTACACTATGATTGACGGAGATTGTACTAATTTGACTTCAATTGAACTAATTCGAGTTCGACTACAATATAATTGGCGGAGATTGTACTAATTTGATTTCAATTGGACTAATTCGAGTTCGATTACAATATAATTGACCGAGATTGTACTAATTTGACTTCAATTGGACTAATTCGAGTTCAATTACACTATAATCGACCGAGATTGTACTAATTTGACTTCAATTGGACTAATTCGAGTTTGATTACAATATAATTGACAGATATTGTACTAATTTGACTTCAATTGGACTAATTCGAGTTCGATTACAATATAATTGACAGATATTGTACTAATTTGACTTCAATTGGACTAATTCAAATTCGATTACAATATAATTGACGGAGATTGTATTAATTTGACTTCAATTGAACTAATTCGAGTTCGATTACAATATAACTGATACATATTATACTAATTTGACTTCAATTGGACTAATTCGAGTTCGATTACACTATAATTGACCTAGATTGTACTAATTTGACTTCAATTGGACTAATTCGAGTTCGATTACAATATAATTGACTGAGATTATACCAATTTTTTTTGTTATATTTATATATATAATGGATTCTGGGAATCCGTTTTACAATTAAAATAAAACGGATTCTCATTTTACAAAAAAAATATGGTAGAAGGACCCCAGATTCGGGACTCGAACCCGGGTGGATGAGTCTGTTATCTCTGGGCACACCTCCTTACCATTAGGCCGCTAGGCTATCGCTTTTATTTTTGCGCAAATTTTATTCTTTTCATTCAATATCAATTTTTTTTATAGTATATAGTATTTTTAATATATAGTATATACATATATATATATTATAACTAGTACAACTCCCGTGTATTACACGGGTGCTTGTTAATTTTTTTTAATCTAAAATTAATGAGAAAAATAGTTAAAAATTTAAATACCTTTTATAAAAATATATATTATTATATATTTAGTATGACACTTTTTATGTGTGCGACTTACCTTTGTTATATTATAATAATTTTTTTAACTTACAACATATAACTACATTAAACATAATTATATCAATTGAGAAATAATTTTATTTTTCTAATGAATTTTAATAAATATAATTATTTTATTATTATAAATATAAATATAATTTATTTATTTCAATATATACAATATGAATGTCAAATCGAAGATCATCAAAAGATGATTAATTTGATATATTATATATGTAAAACCGATAAGAAATACAAAAGTTATCAACTTTTAAAATATATTTACAATTCAATAGCTAATTGAAGAAAACAAATCAAAAGTCAGAGATATATTAGTCACTTTCACTTAGTGTCTCACTATGTAAAATTACAAGGAATTAAAGGGTTATATTAGTACAATTATATTAAAACACTTAAGTTAGCTAAATAATATTTATGGAATGTCCAAACCTAGAGTATTAATTATTAATATATCAATATTATTTGTCCAAACCTAATTACGAAGCATGATTCTTCGCCAAGTAGGATTCTGAAGCACCAGAAGCAGCCACGTAGGCTCAGCGCATTCATGAATTATATATAGGGAGGATATGACTAAGAAAAATGTTTGAAAAATTCCAAAATAATTCTTTGGTTTTTCCGCTTCAATTTCATTTTCGATCAATTTTTGTTAAGTATTTTAGGGTACCCGTCTATGATGGGATTTTGTAATCATCTCAATCCTTATTTTTAGGATGGGATAAGATTTTGTACATTTTAATTCGTGATATCTGATTTTTATTATACCTTAGTTTTCGTTTCTTTTCCCTTTTTCTATGATGGAATTTGGTTGATATTTATTTAACCGATTGACCTCACTTCCGTTTATTTGGATGGGATTTGATACATAAAATAATACACTAAATCAAAAGAAAAAAAAATGGATTACAAACAACTTTGTAAAATCCTATATAAATCCATCATTCGTTTAGAACGACTTCTTCACTTTTCTTCCGAAATCATTCTGCAAAAACAGAGAAACACATCGTTAAAAAACAGGTAAAAAAAATGGGACCAGTGTTTGATAGACTCCTCGCAGTTAATAGGGTGAACATACCTTTT